TCTTCTTTCTTGCTGAAGCACCCTTAGTAAGAAGCGCTTCGATCTGCTTAATTTATCAAACAAATAATATTGTAGAATAAAATGGTGCGAGGAGAAATCGAGTATTTAATTCTATTTTATTTTATATCACATAAAAGTGCCACACCGCGTAGTGTCCAATGTCGAGGATTATGATCGGTTTCGAAATCGATCGATCCTACGTATTTTGTATCCGTTCTTTGCGGTTTTCTATATATGGGACATTCGTAAAGCTTTGGATCCTTGCCTGCAGTTGTATTTATCGCGTAAATATATATTACTGGCATCTGTTCGTATAGAACCTTGGGTTTACTTTCCACCAACTTGGCCGTTTTACGATCAAGCGAAGCACCTTCTAGGAATAGACCATGAACGTAGACTCCTTCCTGCGGCTGATTCTTGATGTCCTCCTTATTGAATCTCGTGATCAAATTCTGCAAAACGACGGAGTCAAGAGCCCATCCTTTGTGTGCCCGAGTTACCTCCTGCGACAAACGTTTAAGTTTGATTTGTTATTTAAGGAATGCATATAGTTTTACTTTAAACTACCAATGCCACCGTTTAATATCAAATGAATCCTCGAATCACATCATAGGAACACAATGTATTTTATGTTTGTAATTTTTGTATGTTAAATAGAAAGTGGGAAAATTTAATTGCAGCTGAAATGGAATTAATTGGCCACTTGAAGTCACTGATCGGCTGTCGTGGAAAGTTTTGAGCGAAGCATTGAAGTCTTCTTAACTACGGTACCTAAGTTTATTTAAGATCTATATTCTATATTCTAAAATGCCAGATATTAACTGACTTGTCGCATAGCAGTTAGAAATCCCTGAGGATTAAAGAAACCAGTCATCCAGAAGACTTTAGGACGACCATGGGTACACCACTGTCTGAACTGATGGTCACGTTCTAGAAGCTCCGTGTACCAGAACCCAAGTGTCGCCGATTCCCACGATATTTTGAGCCATTTATCCGGTATACGAGCATCGTACATTGCGTCCAACGATTTACGTAAGCCTTGGCTCATCACGATGGTACCTTCGATAGCAAGCTTCAAATCCGTCAAGGTGCTACGTACTTCCTTGATAACTCTCGTAATTCTGAATCACCGAGGATCGAGTCAATTAAAAAAAAATAAAGAAATTGAATGATAAAATGCTACACGCAACTCAAAAGTAAATAAATAAGAAACTGTACCTGTCGACTTCCTGTCTTAAGAATATGTTCATCGGCAGCAAGGCTCCCATACGTTGAAGAGCTTCTTTCACCTCGAAAGAGTTGTACTGTTTTGGTAATTTCGCTAACATGTCGCTAGCCAATTTGTACACAACGTTTTCTCGAGTTTCGCCACCTTGGGCACCGCCCTCTTTGGGTTGGACACTTAGAATCGTGTCGAGTATCCCTTTCGCTGTGTTTATCTGGTAAGTGATGTCCGCGTTCGAATGCAATCCGAAAACCTCTGGGGTATCTGTGGCGGGCAGACTGTCCATGTAATCCAAGTATCCTTGAAGATTTCTGGTCTGCGGCACCTTGTATCCGCGATAAAACTCGAAGCCTGGTCTTAGCAATACGTCGCAGAACCAAACGTGTGTAAAGGTAGTTAGCAATCGCTTGTCGAAGTCGTCTGTGACTCTGCCGCCGTATTGAACCTGTATTTATGGATTGGTAATGAAATGTATAGTTGATGAGGTGTTGAGTTTAGATTTCTAGGGTTCTAACAGACAAAACTTTCCTACCTCTCCGAGCATATAGCAGACAGTTGGCCACGACACTCCTCTTTTCGGGTCCATGTCATCCAAATGATTCTGTATAAATTGGACCGAAGCAGCATAGTCAGCCTGATTGAACTCGTACGGTATGTTCCAGCCAAGAGGTCCGAACTTCCTACGTTCTTGGACCACGGTATGAAGAAATGCAACAGCGTACAACAGAGGAGGCCATTGTGATTGTGTGCTATAATCCAACAAGTCCTGGGTCACGCTTTGGTATGTCCTCTTCAAGCTGGCTCTGATACCTTGTGGTGGCTCGTTTGTAAATTTGATCGCCATCTGGTACAAAGTTAATTGTAATATGAGGACATGGTTTCTCTTTGATAGCTTTATCGCTAAACTATCTACCACAGTCGGTCAAATAACTGTTTTCAAATTTTTGTACACTTTAGTGTTAATAAATGAAGAAAGGAACCTGCAGTAAACCAATAGGAAACTGGGTGTGCACTTCGGTGGTCATCCAAAGTCTGAACGCCTCGTGGACAGTTTCCGTTTCAACGAGGGCGTCCATCACTTCCGTGCAGAAAGGAAGCGATAAATGGATATTTTGCAGCAACACCCAACCGCCAGCATTCATAGCATCTGATATCAACCTTCGAGCGTGGAACTCTTGACCTTGACCCATGGACACTGATCTCAACTCTGGAACATAAATTACTCTGGAAACATTTGTTTCACTCCGTTTGCTATGGAAGATAACACACATTAAGGGTTGATACAAAACTGTGTTACAAAACTGATTCTCCATGAACTTTAATTTTTCCAATCAAAGTAGAACATATTTCAAATATAGTAAAATAATATAAACTTCCTGAGGGTATAACGAAACTATTATCAATGTCGATTTCCCCTTGTTCGGAATTATTTTAATAATAAGGAATACTTTCCAGAGAAATTATTGCAATTGGTTCATTTGTGCTTCTTACTATAGATATGTAGGATTATTCATTAGAATAGCTAAAGATTACACTTATCCCACCGAAATAATGGATGCCAACTGTTTCAGGTTACTTACGAATAGATTTCAGCTTTGCTAGAGCCGTGATTTGAGGACTAGGATCCGACCCAATCGACAATATGCATATAAGCGGAGTTCTAACTTCAGACTCCAACCAAGTGGCCTCCAAGTCTAAAATTTTAGCTTCCCCATACTCCTTTCCCAACGATTCAAGCACGTATCTCCTCGCCTGGGACAGTGTCCTGTCAGGACTCCACGACCTTATCAAAAGGAGCTTTCTGAAGACATCCAGCTTCTTTTGATATCCGCAAGGAAGTTCTTCTTCCTCGGGCCTGTCTCTCTCGTACCACACTTGCCACTCCTTCTCGCTGAATTCGATCTTAGTCAAGATATCCGAGAAACTTTCCAGCTTGCTGATCTCCACCAAGTTCAGCCAAGTTATGTCAAGGATCCACCTGAAAGGTTTCGGTGAAACAGCGTTCAGATCCAACGACGCGCCTCCTTTTATGAACGCGTTGAATTCCGCGTGAGAAATCGCGCCTCGATGACAGTCTATCTTCATCGCCAGCATCAGCGTGAACAAGGACTTGTGCCTTTCGTACAGGCTCCTCAAAGTGAACGCCCACACCTCGTAGGTGAGGTGACGGAGGATAATATTTATTCTTTCGTTGGTGATGGGGCTCTTGACGGACTTCGTGATGGAATTGTCGAATATCGTTAGGAATTGCCTCAAGGAATTCTGGTACATTACGTTCACGTTGCTCATCTCCACGATGAGAAAGTAGAGGATAGATCCTCTCGAAGCAACAGCGCGAAACTCTTCTCTGGCCAGGGTGATCTTCTTTTCTGTCAAGGCGGACACCTTCAGTTTCTCGTTCACCGACTCAGCTGTTGTTTTGGTCTCTCTGAGGACGTTTATCAGGGCCTCGTCGTCCACTAAAGAACCTTCGGAGGACGTGAGTCGATGTAAAAGCGTGCTCTCGAGTTCTTTCATCGATCGTTGGTTCGTCATGACGGACTCGAAGAGAGCCACCCTTTCGGCCTCCAAGTCCGCCTTCTCCATGAGGATCACTCTACCCAACAATTGATCCTCCAAGCCCAACATTGTAACCGTGAAGTCGATTATCGACGTTTTTGCTGAAATTTCAGGGCTGTACGCTGGGTTTGGTAACTTCGTGGTGATGTACAGCATGAATCCTGGCATAACGTCGCACTCTTTGTCGCCGACGATCACTTTCTCGATGGAACCAGACTTGATGAAGTTTTTCTCGAGCACGTTGTCGAGAACTGGATCCAATTCTTCAGCTATGTCCTCGATCAATAACGGTCTGCCTAAGGAGAGGCTATCTTCGAGGTGAGTCCTGAAGTATTTGTGATTGAGAGACGTGATCTGTAATTCATTCATGCATTCCTTGTTCTTGATCCACATTTTTCCTTGGTTTTGAGGGTCTACTAGCAGAGGATACGAGGAGGATTTGGTCACTATGAGCGCGTTCTGCACGGAGAGCTCGTCGTTTGGTAAACCTTGAAGCGTCCACTCCGACATGGTCGCACTGTCGACGAGCATGTTCGTGATGTTTAGGTTCGTGGTGAAAGGAATGGATTTGGTTGCCAAGATGTTCATCCAAGAAGATACCAAGCTAGCTCTGTATTGTTGATTGTAGGGTCCGCAATACGAAAGGAATCCTGTAGCTAGTAGAACATCTCCAACCAATCGTCCTAATTGAACCTTGAATTCGCTGCTTTGCTCTGTCCAGCGTATCTTTTCACCTCCCAGACCATTGATCAACGCTGTCGCAGCCGTCATTTTCCTAAAGCACACATTCGCAGCGTCGGTCAGTCTCTGTTTCTCCGAAACTGCAGAGTCGTATTGCTCTTTGACCGCCTGCAGTGCCATTTCCCTTTCCGACAATTCCCTCTCAGCGTTCGCTAGATCTTCCATGGCCACTTTTAGCCGTGCTTCCTGCAGAGCCAAGTTAGCCTTCAATGGAAGCACCTCTTTATTGACGGAATGGAAGAAAGCCATGGCTTTCGTCCAGGACAACAAGCCTGCTACATCGCCGCAAACACGTCTGGCGGTTTCCATGTTGTAGTCTTCCATTTTGAAGTAAGGTTGCAGCAGTTCGACCATCTCGTTGTTTATTATGTCTTTTGGATAGTTTTGCAGTTGGAGAAGGAACGTGGTGCTGGCCATTAGTTTCAACGACTCCGACCAAGAGGGTTTTGGACAGGGCGC